TTATTCTGCAGAATCTTCAACACTGACCAGTTTTTTTCTGGGGACTTCAGTTCACAGCGGAAAAGGTGAAACTCTTACCCCCTTGAGTTCTTCTATTATTAAATGACTGGTCATTCTTCTCTCTTTTTTGGGGGTGGGGTGGGGTGGTGTGAGGCAGGGTCTGTCTACATAGGTCTGGCTGTCCTGGAATTCACTATGTAGATCAAGCTGGCTTCCAACTCCGAGATCTGCCAAACTCTGTTGGGATTAAAGGGGTGTGCCATCATGGCACCTTGGGTCATTCTGAACAGTGAAACCTGAAACTTCCCCTGTATAGGGGCTGTCTACTCCACAGCCATTTCCACTTTCCTCTTTTTAACTTATTAACTGTAATTATTAATCTTGGTTGTCAACTTGACTGGACCTTTTAAGAGATAATCCTGTGGGTCCATCTGTGAGGGGTTTTCTCGATTAGGTTAATTGACTCGGGGAGGCCCACTCCAAATGTGGGTAGCAGCTGCTGGTGGCGATCCGGGTATTCTGAGGTCAGAGGGAAAAGCTTTTGCTTTTTGAATGCTTGCCATCCTACCCCACTAGTGACTTCATATATGCCTTGCTTTTGAGCCACCAACCCTGTTGTTGCCCTTGCTATTACCATCATGGTGTGATGACACAAGAACCCTGCTTCTGCCTTTTGTTGTGGACTGAAGATCAGTGGCTCTCCAGGAATCCCCCTGACCTTGAGCACCAGGCTGGGACTGTGGAGGTTTTCCCAGCCTTATGGACTGAGCCACTTGCTATCATTTTGTAGCTGTTCCTTTAGTGATAACAGCGTTGTTGGATTACCCAGACTGTGCCAGGTAAACCAGTGTAATCACTGTTCCCTTTAATCAGTTCTGTTTCCCTGAGCAACACAGTAACAAAACACCATCTTTCTCAGTAATGGTAGCCATGAGGTTTAGGGAAGCCTAGAGCTTTCCTTACACCAGGAGGTAATTTTCAGTTAAAGCCAGAAGTTCTCAAAGTTGAGCTTCATCAATCATCTGAAGGGCTGGGCTTCTCTCTCAAAGTTTCTAATTTTGGTAGGGCCTGGGAATTTGCATTTCCAATAAGCTCCCAAGTAATGCTATGCTGATGCTGACTTTGAGAACCACAGTTCTGAGGCAATCGTCTGAATCCATTCTCTCATCAGGCATTAGGCTTGAACACGTGACGCGGTTGTGGATAGCAAATCCCGGACTCCTGGATTCTGAGGTACAAGGATTGGTGAGTTCTCTGTCGTCATAGTCTTTAGACAGGGAACTATTTAAAGCAGGATGCTAGGGGTAATTGAAAATCATCTTCATCGTTCTTTTATAAGAAAAGCAGCTGGGGAGTGTTGAAGGCAGCCAAGCACAGAAGGAAGTGTCTGGGTTCCTGCTGGCGTTGTGGGAGGTTAGGGGCTGCCGTTGCAGCAGCGCTGTGGTGGATAGGTGTGCCAAGACCGCTTAATGAGTACAAAGCAAGACCACCCAAAGCTGACTGGGACCCAACAGAGCTGACGACTATCATTTGCTTCCTGAGAATGATGAAGCTGCTGAGACATCTGAAAACTCCACATAAGGACAAAAATGCACAGTAACCCTGTTGGGGGAAATGAAAGGACCCCAGCCCATTCCTGGGGTTCCCTGATTTTCGCCTGCCTTTACTTGTGAATAATCTTCTCCTCCATTAAAGTTTGCCCACAACAAGCTATGCAACGTCCTGTCCTGTGCAGTGTGACTGGATCTAGGGCCCTCCCTCACACGCTGCCTGAGCATGCACTTTCGTTCTGAAACAAACTTCCTCCTGGTTCCTCACTTTGCCTCACTTAAAAGTTATTTCTCTTTTTTTCTTTTTTCTTTCTTTTTATTTCTTCTATGTGTCTTTTACATCATGTGGCTTGATCCCATTCATTTGCACCCCTCCCCCCCCAATAAAACAAAATTTAAGAGAAAAAAGGAAAACAATCTCGTCATGGAAGCTGCAGTGTGACATAGTGAGTCACACAGCACCCCCCCTTTTTTTTGTCCATATCTCTTTACTTGCAAGTGTTCATTGCAAACAGTTATTGGTCTGGTTTGAGGCCTCTGGTTTCTGCTGCGCTATCGACACTGGGCCCTCACTGGGACTCCTCTTGGTTATCCTGCTGTTGCCCTGTGTCCTGGAGATCCTGCGGCTTTGGGTCTGCAGGACCCGGCCCTTCAAGTGCTCCAGCAGATCATAGATGGGGTGGATGTCTGTTATAACCCTGGTTCTGGGTCTGGGCCGCTGCAGGGTTGGCCCGCCCACCAGTTCTCGGGTATCCTTACCACCAGGGGGAGCTCTCCAGCACTGCGCTGGCTAATTCACCTCTTACAGCGATGAGCAGGGGTGGGGCCATTTCTCCTGAATTCAGGCCGTCGGGGTCAGCTCTCCCACACCTAAGCCTTCAGGGCCAGCTCATTGTGTTGCCCAGTGAGATACAGGGGCCACTCTCCCAGAGTGCTGCAGCTGGTGAGGGCCAGGGGCAGCTCTCCCGCTCTTATGACTGCAGGGCCAGCACGTTGATTGTGGGGAGGGGGTAAAAATTATTTTTTCTGATGATGATAAACTGGAAACGTTGGGTGGAGGTTTCAGTGCTCTCTCTCTCTCTCTCTCTCTCTCTCTCTCTCTCTCTCTCTCTCTCTCCTCTCTCTCTCCCTTCTTCCTTCCTTCCTTCCTTTCTTTCCTTTTTTTGAGACAGGGTTTCTCTGTGTATCCCTGGCTGTCCTGGAACTCACTCTGTAGACCAGGTGGCCTCGAACTCACAAAGTTCTGTCTGCTTTTGCCTCTGGATTGCTGGGATTAAAGGCGTGTGCCACCACTGCCTGGCTAAATCATTGTTTTTATGTAAACTGTTTTCTGGCATTTGTTGTGGAAAGCCACCTAATGATACCCATTTTCAGTACTCAAAAAACTCCAGTTAAAGTAACTGAATCTAGAGGGTCCAAGGACTCCAGACCTCAGGCCAAGGGCTGTAACACTGGCCAGTACTAAGCTCTAAGTAATCCCTACTTCTCGATTTTATACAATGAGGCTATAAACAACTCTGACTCCTGCCAAGTCTGAGGGATAGAAATATGTAGGACTGACTGGAAACTACCCATAGGTGAGGAATCTCTACTTCCAGATGGGCAAAACAGTCATGACCTGTAGTAGAGTAACTATTTCAGAGGCCTACAACACTAGAAGGCTCTGCCACTAGAGGGCACCATTTGTTCGCTGCTGCCAAGCGCTGTGGGAAAGGAAGCCTGCCAGAGCCCAGCACTTAGAAAGCTAACCTGCTCATTCCTATGCCTCAACCTTGAAAAGCCTTATTAACCCTTAGACAATGACCGCTGGTGACAATCCTTTGCTTGGGACCTACTCTTGCTATCCATGAGCTCTATTTGTCTCCCTTCTCTTGAAGTCTTCCTTGTAAACCTATAACAAGCGTTATAAACTTACCCTCCTGTTGTTGCCTGGGAAGTTCATACAGAGACAGAGGACCCAGACAGCTGAGGTGGGAAAGCCTCCACCTCCCCCCACCCCTCCACCAATACATATGGCAAAATGTTCTTGAACTTTTCACCTTTAGGAAGGCAGGACAGGCTTCTCGTGGACAGTGTCTAAATGAGATGACAGACCTCTACCCACTGAATGTGTTGCATTTTGATTGTGAGGAATGTAGCACAGTGAGTTGCAGGTAGAATGCAAAAGGCATTTGCACATCACCATCATGCCTAACAGGCCGTGGTGAGCTTTGAGCTTTATCCCAAGCCAGTCATCATTTTAAACAGCAAAGTGTCAAGATGTACCTTGGGCTTTAAGAAGACTGACTATTCTGGTCCCAATTTGAAGACAGATTGAGGAATAAGACTGAGGGAAAGATGAGTTAAGTTGTTGCAATAGCTCTGATGGCAAATAAGGGTAGCTTCAGACTAAGGAGGAAATGGTATAGTTTGGCTGGGGTAAAGCTGAGGTTTGGGTATTTTGAATCTGGTGTTGGGGGGTGTGTCTATGGGTCATGCCAGTGGCTTGGTCAGGACTAGCTGGGTATTTCTAGGATAGATTCGTAGACTTGTGATAAATTGTGCTTTGAGAAAATCAACTAGAAGCTGAAAACAAGGAGTCTGTAACAGGTACTTAGTAACTGATTTTCTAAAAAGCATTGACTCTCTTGAATCCAGGGGGTAACTGATAGCAGGACAAAAAGTCTGGCATTTGCTTTGAGTTATACTATTTTTCTTTTTTCTTTTTTGAAAGTACCATCACAATACATGATTTACTTTTACTTGCAGAATCAAAACTATCATATACAAATATTAGGAATAGTGGTAAGAGAACACAGACAGCCGGCATTGTGTGAGTGTGTGTGTATATGCATGTGTATGTGTGTGCCCTTTTTTTAATTCTCATGAAGAAATGCCATGGGGAACACCTTTCTAAATGTCTCAGCTATTCACTCATTCTTAGAGTTCATTCTGTCACACAAACCAAGACTTACCTCTACAGTACTCTAATAGGAAGGGGTAGAGAAAGAGAAAGGGAAGAAAAAGAAAAAGGCACGAAGGACTAAACGTGGATGCCATTAAACAGAACTGTGGCTACATGGGACGACAGCTTATCAGAGGGTGTTTGAAAGACAATTCTCAACCCCAGAAGGTCAGCCATATGTCAGCTCAGAACACCGGCTTTAATGTTTATTTTGTTTTTAAATACGAAACAGAAATGTAAGGTCTTAGAGGGATAGCAGAAAAGAAGTGACATTGATTTTGTTTTTTATACATTCCCCTCCTCCAGGCAGGTCTGCAGGGTCAGATTTCTAAATTTGGGACGTGGAGTCGGCTTCCATTCTCATAAGGGGACAGTCCTTTAAACAAGCACAGGATGGTTCTCCTTCCTCTCTTTAAATGCTGTGCACGGGAAAGGTGCCCACTTTGCTAGGAACTCTACATCAATGTCCCAGGAGCCCTGGTGCTCTTCAGCCTCCTCGCAGAGGCTTAAAGGATGGCACAGAAGATTTTCTTCTCCCGAAAGGGGTTTTCTGAGGCTGGGACTGGGGTCAGCAGCGGGTCCTCCTTGGCAAGTGCCTCACAGTAGGCCACCAAGTCTGCAGCCACCTTGGACACCTTTATCCTGTCAATGTTGGCTTCCGTCTTCGGCAGCTCTACCAGCTTCCTGGCTTGTGCTATGCTGGCAGTGTTGTTGCTGGCCGTTGGGAGCTGGACGGGGTTCTCAGACACGCTCGTCAATTTTCAAGGCTGGAGGCTCACTAGCAGATCTTGCTTGGTTCCCAAGGCTTCAGAGTTATATTATTTCATCCAGAGTGTTCATCTAAAAACTGCTGGTACCTAACCGACCTCATCCTTTCTTCAAGGCTGGAGACAGAAGGATAATAGTAACTGAAACTTAGCTTTGACAATGTCCTATTCCAGGCACCCTAAAAGAGCCTAAAGGTGTCCAGTCATTGTCCTAAACTTATGATCATCCTGGAGTCCAAGAATAGCAAAGCTTCCTTGGATAGACTGACCACTCTACAGAGGAGAGCGTTGCCTCTGTCGACAAGATACCCCCAAGAAGAAGCGATCATCTTGTAAGAATCAGATGGATTCTCTGCTTGAAGTTCCTAACCACTTCTTTGGGCCGCTGTGCAGAGTGAGGTTGAGAGAAGATCAGCAGACCTGAAGGCGAGGATGTAATGATTTCACTAAACCCAACATAAATGATATATGGGCGTTTATTGGGGAACAATTACACAGAAAATACAAAGAACCTCAGGAGCGTTTCCCTGCCCTTCCTACCGGATTTGCTGATCCACCAGCAAGAAAGCGCAAAGGAAGCCACACCTCAAGCTTCCCTCTTTCTACTTCCATCTCCCTGAGGTCATGCCCAACGGGGATGTGGCCACCATTACAGGTTCACAGACAAGATGCATACATGGACCACATCTTGACCATGACGGCTTAACCATCTGTTCCTCCTACCCTCTGCCCCAATTCCTCTTCTATTTAAGCCTGAAGCATCAGTACTCTGGAGACAGACTGGGGTACCGGACTCCATTCTTTTCCGGTCTCTCTTTGCTGTCATCAATACTTCTCTCTAAACTCCATGTTAGGACCTCCAAAATTGGTTTGAGGGGTCACCAAACTTCTTTGTTCCTTTCCTAACATGGCCACGTTGAATAAATCTAATGTTTCATGATCTGTCTCTTCAATTGACCTAGTGAGGGCGGGAAGCATGAGAACCAAAGTTATATGCTAGAGGCTACTGTTTATGTTTTCACTCCTCTGGACAATTTTGACAGGTCTGATTTTTTTTTTTTTTTTTTTTGAGACAGGGTTTCTAGGTTTGGCTGTCCTAGAACTTGATCTGTAGGCCAGCCTGGCCTTGAACTCACAGAGATCCACCTGCCTCTGCCTCCTAAGTGCTAGTATTAAAGGTGTGCCCCAGCACCCCTGCCTTGAACAAATTTGTTTGATCCACATGCACTAGGTGTGCTTGACCACATGTGGGCGGGAGATGCATGGGTGGCAAATGTGTCACGGGGTTTGCTTGCCCCTGATTGGACTTGATGGGAAACGAGGTGAGTTGTAGATTTTGCCTTTTTAAGCCCCTGCAAAATTTGACTGGGGACCATTTTCTGGGAACCCAGAGATATATGATGGGGGAGGTCCTTCTGTGTATATGTTTGTCTTATTGGTTGGTAAATAAAGCACTGTTGGCCAATAGGGAAGCAAGTTAGGCGGGACTAGGAGAGAAAGAGGATTCTGGGAAATGTAGGAAAGGGAGATGGTCTCCATGTGATCCTAGGAAGAGAGGATGCATAAGTCCTCGGTAAGGTAAGTCCTTATAAAAATATATAGATTAGTAGTTATGGTTGATAATTAAAACTGAGGTAGCAAATAAGAAATCCTAGTCATTGGCCAGCAGCATTATAACTAATAAAAGACTGTGTGTTATTTGTGGTCCCTAAAGTGATGGCAGAACCCAGGCAGCAGGCGGAAAGAGTTATCCTTACAGATATAACCTCTTGGAAAGTATTTAACTAAAGCTTCCAAGTTTGGCTCAAAATTGTGGCAGTGGTCTTATGCTCCACCAGTGGGATTAGCAGGTGGCTGACCATGGCTTTATGGGGCTGCTAGGACCCTGGATGGCCCTAATGGCTCAGGTAACAGATCTATTTTCAGATTTTTGTGTTGTGAGATATTTGATCACACTGTGTAAAGATAGGTCACTGTGACTGGTTTAATAAAAAGCTAAAAGACCAATAGCTAGGCAGTAGTATAGGTGGGACTTCCAGACAGAGAGAGCTCTGGGAAGGAGAATGAGGAATTTGCCAGCCTGATGCAGAGGAAGCCGGACATGCAAAGCGAGAGGTAAAAGCCATGCACCATGTGACAGCAGGTAGATTAACAGAAATGGGTTAACTCAAGTCATAAGAGCTAGTTAGAAACCAGCCTAAGCTAAGGCCAAGCTTTCATAATTAACAAGTTTCTGTGTGTCATTATTTGGGAACTGGCTGATGGGTCAGAGAAAGACTGGTTACATTTTTGAGAATGAACCTTCACACTTACTTCCATAGTGGCTAGAATAATTAACATTCCCATCAGCAGTATATAAAGTTTCCCTTTTCTCTGCATCTTCCTGCCTCTGCTCCCCAAGTGCTGGGGTTACTGGCATGCACAACCACACCTAGCTTTAGTGTAGTTTTAATTTGCATTTCTCTGATGGCTAGTGATGTAGAACATTTTTTTTTTCATATGTTTCTTGGCCATTGGTACATCATCCTTTAAGGTTCATCTGTTCACTTTACTAGTTTATTTATTGATTAGGTTGTTTGGTTTCTTGGTATATGACTTCTTGAGTTCTTTGTATAGTCTAGACATTAACCCCTTGTTAGATATGTAGTTAGTTAATGTCCTTTTCCAATTCTATAGTCTATTTCTTTACTTGCTTGCCTCCCTTGCTTTGCAGAAACTTTAAAATCTCGTGCTATTCCAGCTGTCAATTGCTAGCCTTGTTCCCTGTGCAATCAGAATCCTTTTTATAAAGTGCTTGCCTATGCCTGTATTCTGAAGTGCTTCCCTTACTTTTTAAAAGGTTTTTGATCCACTTGGAGTTTATTATTCTTCTATAGGATGAGTGAAAGGGATCTAGTTCCATTCTTTTACATATTGATAGCCAGTTTTCCCAGCACCATTTTCTGAAGAGATTGCCTTTTTTCCAATGTATGCTTTTGACGTCTTTGTGAAAAACCAGGTGGCTGTTGTGTGGGTTTATACCATCTCAGAATCCAGATAAACAAAAGCAAGCAAGAGTTTCTGAATGTCACAGTCTGAGGTCATGCCGAGATCCAGGGTCACTCCATCAGGGGCTGAAGAGATGACTCAGCAGTTAAGAGCACCTGTTGCTCCTGCAGAGAACCGGGGTTTGGTTCTTAGCACATACGTGCAACTCACAGCCATCTGTAACTTCAGTTCTAAGTAATAGTATGCCCTCTTCTGGCCTCCAGTGGCACCAGACACACAGTGCACAGACATACGTGCAGGCAAACCACTCATATACACAAAATAAACAACTCTTTAAAAAACAAGTCACTCAGTCATCTTGGTGTGGTGGTGCATATCTTCAGTTCCAGCACTCAGGAGACAGAGACATCTTTGAGAGCTCAAGGCCAGCCTAGTCTACACAGCTGGTCTCAGTATAGCTATGACTACATAGTGAGATCCTGTCACCGAAACAAAACGGGAGTCATTCAACCAGAAGAGAGGATCAAGTGGGTTAAAGCAAGGACGTCTTAGCTTCTCTTTGTTCCTGAAACTGACTCTCACTCCCTCAGACTAATAGCTGTCTGTTTCTTTTCTTAACCTGCTTGGCTCTTTCTTCCCCTGTCACACAGAAGCCAATACTCACTTTGTTTCATCAGAGAGTGTTAGACAGTGGCAAAACAGTCTATATTTTTAAGTTCAGAAAAAAGACCAAACTCCATGATCATCTGTAGCATTACACAAGCTCCATGTGTTCTGGAATGGAGGAGATCTTTGTGCAGACAGGCTAGACCTCAGAGAGCCAGCAATTCATAGGTGACCTTTCCTCTTGTAAGTGACAGGTAAGTGCTGTGTGACTTGTGGAAGGCTTCTGGAGAGGGAGTGTGATCATGAAGAATGAGTGTGAGTTTGCAAGGTAGCTTTATTCACATAAAGCAGCACAGGGCCAGGGACATGGCGATGGCATGGAGAGTTTGAGGACAGCTAGGAGCTTGAGAGGAGGTTGAGGTGGGGTCTGGGCATGGTGTCAAATGCCTTTAATTCTGGCAGAGGCAGGGGAATCTCTGTGAATTAGAGGCCAATCTGGCCTACATAGTGAGTTCCAGGCTATACAGGGCTATACAGTGAGATAATAGCTAGACTCTGAAAGGTTATATGCCACCCTGAAGTGTGTGACTATCCCTTCAAGGGTTGGGAATTCTCTTGATGGCAGCCAGATGCCACCAAAAGGTTTAAGGCAAAGCAGTAATCTGATCCATCAGATAATTTTTCTTTTCTTTCCTTCCCTCCCTTGCTCCCTCTCTCCCTCTCTCCTTGCTTTCTCTCTCTCCCTGCTTTCTCTCTCTCTCTCTCTCTCTCTCTCTCTCTCTCTCTCTCTCTCTCTCTTTCTCCCTCCCTCCCTCCCTCCCTCCCTGCCTCCCTCCCTCTTTCTTTCTTTCTTTCTTTCTTTCTAAGTCTCAGTAGTTAAGACTACTGGCTTCTCTCCCAGAGGACTGGAGCTTGATTCGCAGCACCGGACCAGATGTTATTCTTTTGAAAAAGCAGTGGTTAGCCAGAGCTCACTAAAGTTCAGGTATTTGTGAGCTAACAGTAGAATTTGGGAGGGAAGGAAATATTAACCTTGAACTTCCTGGTAAAATGCTTTGGATCTGTTGTTTTCAAATGTTAATTCTTGAAACTGAGGCTGAAAAGTAAGAAAAACAAAAAATAAACAAACAAAAAAAAGCAAACTTGCTGTAGTTATGCAAGAAAGATAAGAAAGTGATTTGCAACAAAGATATAAATTAAAAGCTGGGGATTTTAATTTGTCATAAAAACAGTTTGAATTTAACTAGGTACCCAGAGACCCAATACATTTATACTGTCTTGTAAACTCAGGTACTCTTAACTTTCTAAAGCCTGTCAAATGGTATTTTGGGCTTTATTTAGTGCTTCTTAAAACATGAAAATGCTTTGAATACAGTGTTAAGGGAAACTGTACTTGAGTCTGAGGCTGGGGCTCAGCTCATACACTGTTTGTCTAGCATTCATGAAACCGTGGGTTTGAGCTCCAGCACTGTATAAAGTGAGAGTGGTGAAGCATGCCTGTAATCCCAGCACTTGGGAGATGGAAGATAACAGATTCAAGGCCATCTCCAGCTACAAGTGAATTCAAAGCCAAACTGATGATGATGATGATGAGAGGAGACAGAAAGTGGTCCTCTGTCAGAAGCTGGAAATGCCCTTGGTTCTGTTGTGGTCTGAGGCCAGAAATGCAAAAGGGCGCTGTGGCTCTGGGTCTGGTTTCTCATTATCTTTCTTCTCCTTTTACAAAACCTTCTGGCCACTTGTGAGGATGTGACCAAAATCATGGACATCTTGTGGGAGGACCAATGATACCGACTAGTTCATCTTCCATGCCTCAATCCAGACAAGCCTTATTAACCCGCAGATGAGAACGGTTGATGGGAATGCCCTTCTTGAGACCTGCCTTAATTTACAGGAGCTCTCTGGGCTTCTTCTTCATAAGCCCTCACCCATGAACCTATATATAATATATGCTTTCTTTAAAACTCACATCTCCACTCATTGTCTGCAAAATTCATTCTCCAAGTTCTTGAGACAAAGAATGAAGAAGCCATTGTCTTTGGGTGACCTTAGTAGCTGTTCATTTTTCTGTGACCCATGTCCCCTAAGCTGTTGGCCCTCTGAGATGAGAAAACTTTTGTCACAGTTGAGGCTCCCCTGCTCTTCTCCCATGTCTATAATGTTATGGTGTGGCAGGAAAAGGACCTTGGCAGGAAGCCCCATGACAGGTGAGGGGCAAACCACACCATGCAGACAGAGCTTACATGGGAAGTTTGAGTCTGGGAAGGGAGTGGGGGAATGGAAGGGAGAGAGGGGAGAGAGAAAGAGAGAGACAGGCAAAGACCTGCCTGCACCTTCAGAGGAACAGCAGAAAAAAGAGAGCAGGAATGGGTGGAGCTTGTTCTTAAAGGGAACTTTTGCACCTGTGTACAGAGCCAAGGTACTGATTGTCATGTGCCCCAAGGAGCAGGGCCAAGGTGTGCCTGGATGCTAACACATATCACTGGGGTATATGAGACCCCATCTCAGAGAGAGAGAGAGAGAGAGAGAGAGAGAGAGAGAGAGAGAGAGTTACTCACAGTACCATCTCACCAGTTCTCTAGAGTAACAAAACTTATAGACTGAATCTCTCTCTATATATAGAAAAGACATTTTTCTGCCAGATTAGCAGCTGCACATGAATCTACCGATATTTTAACTATCATCTGAGGCTCCGTGACCCCAAAGTCACCACTCTGCCTCAGCTGCAACATATGGGTTTAAATTAAGTCTCTATCATTCTATTTATCAGTAAGACTCAAAAGTCAATGGCTGGTGTGGAAACCTGCTAGCTCAGAGAGGCTGAGTAGCAACGAGCTGATCTGCTTTTTTTTTAGGCAGAGACACTACAAGAGATGGAGCTCTTCCCTCATCCCAGAACCAAAAGGAAGCTCAAACTCCAGTCACTACTCTTTCCTTCCTCTGTGTCTTCTCTATCCAAATTGCTGGCTTCTCTGTGGCTAATT